GAGTGCTCAGTGTGACAACTTGCAATATTTAGGACATAAAAATTTTCATCGATAACTCACATTATAAATGGGGTCTTGCAATAAAAATACGTATCTAACACAACAAATTTTTGCCACGGTCTCAAAATTACATGTATTTCTTAAGAAAACCATTCCATGACATATGCATCGAGAGCTGCCCGTCAATAGCGCAGCCGAGCATGAATTCAATGCCATCCAAAAGGGTGAGGTGCATTCGATCTTGGTGGTATTTCCAAGGCATAGCGAATGAAAATGTCGCAGAAATAGTGGCTCCGATAACAAAAAGTTCAGCAGCCAGAATGGAAATCAATGCGCGCCACCCGACGTGATGCTGGGGGATGACACCTTGATGATCATGCCTCCAAGTTCATCCCTAGCGACTTGGCATTACATTCATTTGGAAAATGTGATTACATGCTAATTTAAGCTACAATTTTTTCTGTATAAACAGATGTTTAAAGTCATAATACATTCAATGAAAACGAATTTATTGTTGTAATCGTTGTTTTTGATAATTTTATAATTTTCACCGAGAGCATTTCGGAGGCCAGCGCCATGTTCAGTTTATAAAATCACGCGTAATTAAAACAGTTTATTTCAGGAAGTCTACCAAAAAATTCATAAGCCAAAGTCCCCAATCCCCATAAATAAAAGAGCTGCATAAAAATGCATGCAATTCTGCTTACTATTAAATTAAAAGCATAATTTTTTCATATAAGCTTATTCTGCCATGATTTACTTGTAGGTCAATGCACCCTCCATGCTACGTTAATTTAATGTACGGTAATGTGTATTATTATTCTTTAGACAAAAATATTCCCATTGCTTACTCATTCTGTGTATTTGTTGTTTTTCACCGTACTTTTCAGTAAACGTTATAGATTCGATAACAGAGCTGTTCGCCGAAACCCTTTATGAACAATATACGCTATATTTCTTACAATTTCCTTCACTTCAAAATGTTTAGCTGTAGACTATTTGAACTCCCATCTTTATTAACACAAAACACTAATCAACCAATAACGGACAATATCAATATTTCAGCAAATTTCAAAAATGCATTACATAAAATTTAAATAGTACATAACTGAACGGAAATTTTCAGCAGACATTTATAATTATTTACACGAAGTGAAATAATGTGAGAGCAAAGATGATGACATGTATTTTAGATCTGTGAATACTGATTAGATCATGATGCCGCAAATGTTAATCCTTAACAATCGTGTTGCAATATGCATTAGCATTTCCTAAAACGAAGTACACTCGCATCATCAATCATTTACTCACGAAATGAGAATGTAAGTCCCCTCATAAATTGCCCGCTCATTTCAGCCATCCCGAAGAGGCTCTTAGAGAAGATCATTCACATTCATCAAGCGGAACTCGTCGCTCAGCGAGCAATGGAGCATCCGCTTCCCGTCGTGTAAGTCGTGAACAAGAGCCAGGCAACACTGGGCAAGCGCTGCTCTACATCCTCCTTCATTTGGAGGCTCCGGCGATTCTTGATCCATTTCCTGACGCTCTCCACGCTGTTAGTACACGAGGCTTTAATTACAAGAGTCTTCATTACCCGCGTGAACGGAAAATGACGCTTCAAATTGGCGGAGGTGCTGGGCATGCAATATCGTGACGAGAACGTGGCGCAAACGCTCCTGTCGCGATGCCTCCTTGCACCTAATAATAGAACCTACAGTGGACGCTCACAGTGGCATGATAGGAATCTGCATGTCATCCAGTGGACGCTTCAGTGGGCGCCTTAGTGGAACCCAGTCGTCCTCCAGTGGACGCCTTAGTGGAACCCATCCGTCCTCCAGTGGACGCCTTAGCGGAACCCAGTCGTTCGCCCTCCAGTGGACGCCTTATATAGTGAAACCCATCAAGGCCGTCGTCCTGTGAGCGACTGAGTTGGAAGAGCGAGCGCCGCCGTGATACAATAGACGGTCCCAGGGGACGCCTGAATAAGGCACGAGTTCTCCCGGCCCCGCAATAGACTTCAATTCCGAACAAGATTCACTCGTAAGACTTCGAGAAGTTCAGGCAATGGGCGAAGTTTGGCGTCATAGAACGTGACTGAGCATGACCTTTATAATTTAATCAGCGTCCATCAAAGTATAACCTTTGGGAGCAACTTACATACGCAGGTAGCCTGCAGTCCGGAACACATTAATTTCAACAAAGCTTCAAAGAAAAACAGCACAAATCGGGGTATTTCATGAGAGTATGACCCCGAACTTCAGTTATTTTTAATAACGAATTAACCTGAACCCTATTCTTAAACAGCGATTGGGGCGTTTTTCACGTTGAATGATTAAGAAATGGTATTCTTGCGATATAAATTAAGTTTTTTTTTATTTGAAATGTAACTGTGATACAAAGTTTGAAGCTGGTGAGGCGCATATTAAGAATCGAGGAAAAATCCTTGTGCAGTATGAAGCTTAAGCAAATAAGATTATGCAATGAAAATTTAATATTACACAATAATGGACGGAGTTTTTAGTTTTGGGAGGCTGGTGGGCTTTGATTTAGTCCCCAATACGTTTATTATTTTTATTGGCGTTTCATACATCAAGTTGTGACAATGTGACTGCCTACAAAAAAAAATTAATATTCAAGAGATTCTTCAACACCGTCAACAAGTGGGTGCCAAGATGTCATAAGTCTGTGAATGCTGTGTCATTCTCACAATAACGGTATCATTCATAAACAAAAGATACATTAATAACATAATATAACATAGTGATGTCGGCGCTAAAGAGTAGGCCTGGTGTGGCCTGTCGCCGATTCTTTAACTTATAATGAGAATAATTTATAAAAATCATGATTATATAGCCATATTTCTGCTAAAATGTCGATTCGTATGAACAGTCTCACTGCAAATATTACATAAAATGTCCAAGAACATTACAAGATTTCAACCTAAAAGTTAAAAAAAATCTAAATGTCGAGTAAATGAGACACCATGAGACACCGCCAGCGGTATTCTAAAGGAAAAGTTTTATGATATTTGGCATGCTAAGGCATCTTTTAAAGGTGATTTGACCATGAATAAAGGATCTCGCACGCGCAAAATAGACTCAGGGTCATTTTGTCGAAATAGTGATACACTTTTTTACCCAAACTACGAGCGGGAAGTGAACGTAGCACAGATACGCCCTTTTTCCGGGCCTAACTGGGTGGGTAAGAATGATTCACACGACGGTAAATGCATCGCTACTTGGACGAGGTCTCACTCATATCTCTGTGTGATGGCAGGCTTGGGCCAGAGCCAACACGTGTCTTCAAGAGTAGCGGTAGTGGCACCGATTCAGCGTGCGTCTATAAAACAAGCCGCCATTAATACTTTATTCATTGTTGCCGCCATAACAAGCCGCCATTAATACTTTATTCATTGTTGCCGCCATAACAAGCCGCCATTAATACTTTATTCATTGTTGCCGCCATAACAAGCCTCCATTAATACTTTATTCACTGTTGCCGCAATAAAATCAAATGCCGCGCTCTGTCATAGATGCAGTCAAGCGTGCACTGCCAGTATGGCCACGGCATCGTAAACTCTACGGTATTTTATAGCCCGCGATCCCGCATCCAGGCGAGCCCGGTTATGAATACTTATAGAAAACATTCTTAATACCGTAGAAATATTATCTGTGCTTGAAAATTTTGTTAATTTATTTAGTTATAAGCAAGTATTTTGACTATACGGTATTTAATATGACACTATCCAAAATGCAGGTTTGCGCAACCCGCTTATCTCGTTACCAATACCCTGAAGAAACATTCTTAATACTGCAAAACTGTTATATTTGATTGAAAATCAGAAACAATTTATTAATTTAAGATGAACGATGCGGGAATTAGATAATCGATAAGCAAGATATCACAATTAAATACTTTTTCACATACTTTACTTCGTATTTAACTATGAAATACTTAACAATTAAATACTTTTTACCGCACGAAGAGTGCGGTAAAAAATTGACTGCAGTGCGGTAAATAAACGAATTTTAGCTCAAAGTTGAGAATAGATATGTATATGAAATTGGACCCGCAGCTCTCTTCTCCAATGTTGGTACTCTGAACTCAAACCGTGTACCGTGTTTAATCGATATTTATGATTTTAAGAATACTGACGAGAAATCTGTAGATCAAAATGCCCTAGGTTTCGGTTAATATATCCCTATACAAAAGGTTAACCCTTGACTATTAAAGGTAACTTGAGTAACCAGGCCATCACCTCTAAATATCATTGGTGGTTAACGTGTCCGTAGACTCGATAGTCAAGAGTTACAGAAGCAAGAGGCCGCAGTCGCATTTTGAAGCGACATGTTCGCTCTAGTCTAGAGGCATGACCCTTACCTTATACCTTAGCAAGGCAAGACATTACCCTTACCTTAGCAAGGCAAGACATTACCCTTACCTTAGCAAGGCAAGACATTACCCTTACCTTAGCAAGCCAAGACATTACTCTTACCTTAGCAAGGCAAGACATCACCCTTACCTTAGCGAGGTAAAGGACAGTTAGCGCCTCTCCCTCCCTCCCTCCTTGAAAGAGTGTCGGGCAATTCCAGTTCCTTAAACGCGCCTCGCATTCCCGCATGCAACGCCAACACACGCACAGCGGTCGATGAACGGCACGCTCACCCCGCTAATGTGCGGTGAAATACGTTCATGCTACATACAGGTGTGTTGTAGCGCAGCAAATACGCTACGGGAATCATACAGTTGTGTTGGAGCGCAGCAGATACGCCACGATATCCATACAGGTGTGTTGGAGCCAGCAAATACGCCACAATGTCCATACAGGTGTGTTGGAGCGCAGCGAATACGCCACTATGTTCATACAGGTGTGTTGGAGCGCAGCGAATACGCCACTATGTTCATACAGGTGTGTTGGAGCGCAGCAAATACGCCACTATGTCCCTACAGGTGTCGGACTCATGACGCAACACCCTGACCACGTGTTGCGCGTGTTGCAGGTGTGTGGTGGCGGCAGTGGTGCGCCGTTGCGTGCGTGTTGCTCGTGTCCGGCGCTGTGGTGCTCGCCATCGCCTTGCCTCTGTCAACGCAACCCCAGCCAGCAACACGCGCTATAGACAGAGTGTTGCTCGACACGCCTCTCATAGACGGGTGAGTATTGCTCGACATGCCTCTCATAGACGGGTGAGTGTTGCGCCACACGCCTTTCATAGACGGGTGAGTGTTGCGCCAGACGCCTCTCATAGACGGGCGAGTGTTGCACCACACGCCTCTCATAGACGGGTGAGTGTTGCGCCACACGCCTCTCATAGACGGGCGAGTGTTGCACCACACGCCTCTCATAGACGGGTGAGTGTTGCGCCACACGCCTCTCATAGACGGGTGAGTGTTGCACTACACGCCTCTCATAGACGGGTGAGTGTTGCACTACACGCCTCTCATAGACGGGTGAATGTTGCACTACACGCCTCTCATAGACGGGTGAGTGTTGCACCACACGCCTCTCATAGACTGGTTCTTCAGTTCTATACATTACAAATATTTCCCAATTATCATTATTCTACTCATTACAATTATTTTACTTTCTGCTGTGAGTGCTAATAATGTTCAGAAACTTAATTTAGTGTCGGAAAGCCTGGCTTTGAGTTGACACTTAATTTTTTATTACTATTAATGAGCTACAAATAATTGTACATTTTTCGTGACTAACTGACTTTGTTATCATAACTGTCAAAAATGTCACTTCTGAAGCCTAGAGCTTATCTCGCTTGATTTTTACGCACAATTCCCGCCAGCGCGGGATTTGTGTTTATTTTTAAAATATTTATTGCTCCTGTTAAGATATATATCGCTTCACGGCCTGCATTGATTGCTTCTGTACAATTAATCTTTATGGTTTTAAAATGACTTTTTTTTGGTCAGTAATGTTATCTTGAAAATTTCTGAAATTTAGCACAGTACCTAAGCCTCCAGACCCACCAAAGAATTTTTTAGTTAATTTAAAACGACTTTTTCATCAGAAGCGCGTAGGCTTATCGCAGAGTTGTCGGCTCTTGCACAGGACATAGCAATTTGTAATCATTATTCAGTTCATATGTACAATAGTTTGTGTGCATACGAGCTGGTATAGCTTATTATATTCAGAGTGTCAGTCTAAAAGTTAATCATACAAACAAACTTTCGCTGTTACAATAGATTTAGACGAATTATACAGTAAGATATTCCATTATTACTTTTTTTACACAGAGCTTGCGATAAGTGATCAATAGAGTGCAGTATTGTAACGGACGATGCTTCGTGTTACAAAATCTCTCGTGTATCTTGCAAGTAAAGGATACAAAAAATTACAGGCCATTTGAAGCAAAAAAATTGCCGCTATCCTGAAAATCTTGCTAAAGTCTACACAAAAAGTCAGGAAACTCACGTCGATTCTTATCCCGAAACACGAAGCCAGGAAGCAAAGCTTTCAAAGCACCGACTAGGAAGATAAGGAAAGTCTAAAAAGATCTCAGAAAGTATTTACTGAAATGCTGCTTTGCCAACCAATTATTTCCTTTCAACACTTGAAAATATATTAAATCTAAGAGGAAACATTACAAACTTTTGATAACTGAACTTTTACCGAGGCGTTTCACTATCTGATTTACGCACCCCCACCCCAACCCACAGTCACTCTTTAACAAAAGTCCCATTGAATATTAATGAGATACGTCTGGTCTTAATGTTATTCAGCCGAAATTCAAGTAAAATGATGGATTAAATACTTTAATTGTATTTTGCAACACCCGAGCTTTCACGGATATTTTAAAAAGCATGACATCATGAAAAATCTCGATTAATTCCATTTGTGAAATATAATTTCGTACAGCTCAAATTTCAAAATGGTCGAAAAGTTTTTCGAATTTCCGTTAATTTCAATTTATCTGATTCAAACAATGACTAATTGCTTCAACGAAGAAAAAAAATATTCATATCGGCTCAAGTGAACATTAAAATTTAAATAAACTTATATACTTACTGTTTCTTCAGCGTATAAAATTTCCATGATAGTAAAATTAGTTCGAATTAAGGTTAGAAATTAAAACAAGAAATACTAACTCGCTTTGCCAGTGTCCATTCTTTACCGAGCTACACTGACCTTGAATGCAACTGATGAGTTTAACCAATCCTACAAAGAAGGAGACATTTCTCCTTAAATCCTCTTGGGTTAGCAAACCTCCATTTATTAGTACAATTTTCTCAATTTTCTTTAAGCCGCACTGGCCGAAAATTTGGCATTTGCTGAACTTGTCACTATGGGATCCTTCCTCAACACTCGTTCCACACGTGGGCGAAATTTGGAACAAATTGAATTATAAACCTTATTTAAATTTTTAAGTATAGAATTTTTGTGGTTCTATTTAAATTTTAAAATTCAAAGCTGTTGGATCCCGTCTGCACGAAACTGCAATCCGGCCTGCAATACAAAACTCTTTTGAACGAAATTTCGAATACAGGAAGGATTTAATCATTCATATTGCAAGCTCATACAATATTGTCTTATTTCTAATTATTTTCCTCAAAAAAAATGCGCACCGACATGGTCTGCCGCATTGATTAATTTATCTACAAGGGTAAATTTACGAAAAAATTCACAAAAAAATACTGCAAACAATCAAAGTTTAATTCGTTCCTCCTTTCGCAAATAGGCACATCGAATTTAGCATGGATAATTCTTCGATAGAAGCTAAAATACGTAGAAAATCAAACTCGTAAGAAATTCATTTTTTAAGGCATTAATTAATATAGAATAAAAATCCTTCCATTGTTGCTAATTCAATAGGCACAACGAGTGTAACGTGCAATAGCTTCAAAAGATTTAATCAATGCAATCTAAGCCAAATTTCCTCATTTTTTACTTATCTGTCGCCCCCAATACGCAACACGACTGCGAAATTGACTAATATTGGAAGATCCTAATCCTAATTATTGCTAACTACTTAAATAAATATATATAATTATTCAGCTTAAATTGCAAATTTGCCAAGAATTGGAGAAAAAAAAAAGTTAATTAGGAGCTGGTCTCCAAAACGTTGTTTATTTGATACGATGAATTCACTTCGCGCTTTCTTTGTGCTCTGCGAATTTTCGTTCTGTTTTCATTATTGCGTCTTATTTTTGCTAACCCAATAAGCACAACGACAGCAAAATATTTCACTATCGGAAGATTTTACGTATATTAATCAATGCTAATTTATTAATTTTACCCCATCTGCGTCTCAATAGGCACAACGACCTGGCCTGGAACTTACGTAACTTCCTACACAACAAACTTGCCAAGGTTGACCTCAACCGCAACCTGAGTGGCGAGGACCCGTGGCAGAGCAGCACGTGGTCCCACACAGACCTGGCCCGTCTCAGGGCCGGCAGAGTTGGTGGTCAGGTGATTGTATATTTCTAATTATTATAAATAATTTTAAATATCATATATTGTGTTATAAGTATAGTTGGCATAAAGTTATTTCATCCTAATTCTTCTACAAGTTTGATAAAAGAACAGAAAATGCTTTTCATTAATAATTCTTTCGTTTGATTTTCAAAGAATCGAGCAATGATCACAGATAGCGGAGTGTAAAAAAAAAGCTTTACAATTTTAGACCAAAAAAATTGATTTTATTACATATAAAAATACAACAATATTCATGTTCAAGACAAAAGTTCTGCGATGACTCATTTATATATACATGATACATTAAAATATTCTGTCTAAGCAGCACATCTAAATGAACGAAATAAGCTCCTTAAAAAGCCACTCCGTAATTGCTGCGGCTACACGTACAAAACTCGCTTGTCTTTCTGTTCTTAAATTGCGCACGAATTACAAATGTTTAAAATAAAATTGCGAAAAAGCGACCGCGGCGACATAGCGACCGTGGCTTTCAAGTTGTCTCCATGCGTCCGAAATCCAATAAACTGGCAACATACGACAACATTTCCCGGCTTTGTGTCATCAAAATTCCTCGGGAATTTCGACAAAGGCAAAGTGATGACTAATTTCTTCTTGAGCAGTTTTTATCTTCGATTATTTCGCTTTAATCTTAGCCCAACAACCGGCGTTTTAATTCATAATACTGAGATGAAAATTCCGAAAGGAAACGTTCTGAAAAAATAGTTATTTCATTTATGAACCTAACAGCACCGGAGCAAGAAATTCATTCATTCATTCATTCATTCCACGAAGAGATTGTCGTGGCGTCTCGTTCAGATCGAACTTCGAGGGCACGTTACAAGCGGCTAAAAAACACAAGATGATAAAAACAGATGACATCTATGCTAAAACAGAGGACATATGCCAAGACTGATGACGTCTATACTAGAACAAATAACACCTATGCTAAACCAGTATCAGAGCCGTGATGGGAAGTCCGTAGAGTGTGGCATTGCCATAGTCCAGTCTGGTCAGCACAAGCGCCACCATGAGGGCCTCGAGGACCGGCCTCGAGAGACAGCGACTGATGCTACGAATTCCTATAACAATTAATTTATTCATATTTATAAATCCAGCTCATGTATCGTTGCTACAAGTAATAGGCTCCATCTAGCCATTAAATCGGACTGGGTGTAGTTCAATTTTGAACCCCTTTTAAAAAATGCCACTCATGAAACATCAGACTCGACGACATTATTTTTTGGTCTATCAGACTATATACATTGGTTCCTCATGCTCAACATTCACGTTCATGACAGTAGCTTAGTAATAATTTAAACATTGCAGGTTTTCCGTTGTTAATATGTAGAAAGTTTGCCGGAATTGACCATTCGTTAGCGATTTATTAAAATATTGTACCAGAATTAATCATATTCAAACAATTTAAGAAAAGAATTGCTCTTAGAGAAAGATTCCTCTTTCTCCTGATCAATAAATTAATAAACAATAAACCACCTTCGCATGATTTACTAATAAGACACTCCTGAACTAACCACTTGCACATAATTAATATATAAGACACCCATGAACAAACCACCTTCGCATGATTTATAAATAAGACACCTCTGAACTAACCACCTGCACATAATTTATAAAAAATACACCCCTGAACTAACCACCTGCACATAATTTATAAATAATACACCCCTGAACTAACCACCTGCACATAATTTATAAATAAGACACCCCTGAACTAACCACCTGCACATAATTTATAAACAAGGCACCCCTGAACTAACATTTTAATAATTTTGCGGGCAGTTCTGGGCGGTTTACATCCCTTGCGGCGCCCAGTTCCTGAACGCCGTGCAGCTCGCGCTCGAGCAGATCGACCTCATCAAGCGCATCATCGCGCAGTACAAGAACGTGCTTGCCTTCGCAACATCGCACGACAGTGAGCCTTGCACTGTTTATACATGATACAAAATACGCACACATATTGTTTATACAAGAAACAAAATACACACGTAGATTGTATATACAAGATGCAAAATACACACGTATATTGTATATACAAGACACAAAATACACATACATTGTTTATACAAGATACAAAATACACACATACATAGTTCATACAAGATACAAAATACACACATACATTGCTTATACAAGATACAAAATACACACATACATTGTTCATACAAAATACACACATACATACATTGTTTATACGAGATAAAAAATACACACATACGTTGTTTGTACAAGATACAAAATACACGCGTATATTGTTTATACAAGACAAAAAATACACACATACATTGTTTATACAAGATACAAAATAGGTTTAGTTTCTTTCAATGGTAACGAGGTGCTGCGACGTGGTCTATTCGCCCCAAATATCTCGTATACAAAACGAATGAAAAATGTATTTTAGTTGGTACGAGAGCCATCAAATTCTACGAATGCTGTTGATATTGAACCAAAACACGTGCAAGATTCAATTCCTCTACTAAAAAGTTACACAACTGGAACGTGTTCTTAAACTAGGCATCAGCCTTTCTGTTCGTCAAAACAAAGGTTGTGACGATTGACCGTTGGTCTCCTTCAAAATACGTCATTATGTCTTTCCATCATAGTACGTTATAAATGCGCATAAGTGGTATATGTTTTCCTCAAAAACATATTTGCCTATTCGTGTCAGTTGAGTCCCGACACACAAGTTAGCATTGGTTTGATGCCATACAACATCCACACTACCATTCCACCCCAGGTCTGTTATCAGCGTACCGCTCAGGCCGGGTGGCAAGCCTCCTAGGTTTGGAAGGCGGCCACCTCATCGGATCGAGTCTGTCGCTGCTGCGCATGTATTACGACCTCGGTGTACGCTACCTCACACTCACACACACCTGCAACACACCCTGGTAAGTGTCCTGCGTCCTGCCTGTTGCAACACACAGACCCGACGTCAGAAATATTAGGGTTACAGGTAACTACGTCAGTGTGGCCCCATGCATACGTGTCATAAGCTTAAAATTAACGAATGGCCTGTTGGGTCCTGCCTTCTGTTGGAGGATCCCATACTGGGCGTCATTTTTCACCCTCCCTGGTAGCGGGCAGGGAGGGTGATCAAAATATCAGTTCTTCATAACTCTTAAGTTATGGTGAACTGCAATATGAGTGAATCTGAGTAATTCTTCCAAAGAAGTCAAGTTCTTAATTTTGATTCATAGTCGAAATACAAAAATTGTCAGGTGACATTCCTTCACTCGGTAATGGTTTTTTACAACATTCCCTTAGCTATGCAGCATATATTTTTCCAAATGGAGAACACATTTTGGTCGATCACCAAACAGCGCTTGCTCAGCGTAATAACGCCTCCAAAAATGCTTTAGTTTCCTTAATCCTCGATTTTATAAAAATGATTATATGGCTCAAACTTTGCAGAAGAAATTAAGCCGAACTTTCCGAAAACGTCTCTATTTTGGAGCTTAGATCGAAACTTTCCCCGAGATTATCCCTAAATCGGATTCTGGTCGAACATTATCAATTTCTGGTTAAGGAGGCAAGCTTTTTTTTGTCCGATTTGAACCGGCTGTTCGGCCTTCGTTTAAAGTTAGGCCATTAGACGCGTTTGCTTCACTGCTTCTTCTTGGGATTTTCAGGGCCGACTCCTCAACGGTCGACACACCCGGTCACCAGCCTGAGAACTTCGGCCTCACTGACTTCGGAGCGGTAAGTTCTAACTCACTCATTCTTAAGCTCTTCCGCAGTAACAAAACTCGCAAACTTTTTAGTGAGCGTGCGGTGACTCCTACAACTTACAATTACCAGACTATTTTAAAAAGTACCTTGGTGAAACGATAAACAACTCGCCCCTGTACTTAAAACATCTTACCTCTTTTATACAAAAATATATCATGCGGATCAGAAACGTATGTATTTTCGGTGTTGTTTGATCCAAATTCAATTCAAATTTGTTAGTTAGTTTTTTAAATGTTTCTTCCTAATTCTGTTTCAAAGATGTCAAATCGATTGGACTCTAGTATTTGGCATCTCATGCGTCGTTGACGGCATTGTATGGCATATAGGACATAATTCAGAAATTATCACGAATAATTCATCACGAACATAATTCATATAATTATTACGAATAGATATGTCTTTTCACGATTTTAAAGCAATCGACATCAAAAACTAAAAAAAAAATCAGGCGATATGCAGAAAAACATATGCATGTTTATCTTTTGCTCTGCCCTGCACTAACGTTGTCAAAATAGCTTCGGTTTTAAGGCGTAAGCCGTTAAATGGGTCAATATTATTGCTAAAAACATGTCTGACGTCGATGTAGGTGCATTGTTATGGAAGTACTAATTTGACTGGAACTAAAAAGGCTGCATCATCTGAGTTCCTTGAAATCTGCAAACAGCAAATTAACATTAAAAAGGCATTCATGATTGTCTTCGAATAAAAAATTGATTCACAGAAGCATAAGTAAATAAATATGAACCAATTTATTAAGGTGCCATTGTTGCAGTAAAACAATACAATACCTATGTATGATAATGTCCATTTTGGATTGTCCAGAATATAAAATTAACCTGAAGACTTTTTCAGAGTAAAGGTTGATCCTGATTAGGTAAAATTTAAAGGTGTAATCAAGAGATAAAAAGAAGTAAAATTTAGCAGCAATTATTTGTAAGATGGAATAAACGGTATTTCTCTCATCTTATTCATCAATATTCACCTGAAATTAATTAAGAACAACAACGCTCGTCCTGGAAGTCCTCGTTTAAAGCATGGTATACAGTTGGGGGCAGAAGAAGCTTTGCAGCCGCAGCATTCGCTTGGATAAACACAGATCGAGGCTACGGCGATATTGCCTCCCAGAAACTCTGTCAACAAGGAAGCAATAAGATTCCAAGCTAGCTTTTTGATGCAGCCACGAGATTCACGTTCTGAGCTCGAGACGTTCCCCTTTCGTATAACTCCCTTCCTTCAGTTTCGATTTCACTGAATTTTATCAGTATTCAGCACAGCGTCTCACATCATCACATGCAACTTAATTGCTCCTCTCAATAGAAAATGTTAGAAAATTCTGTGTCAGTTCAATCATGAATATTTTCTGTTTAGTCTCGAATTTGCAATTCAAGATCATTTATTTAACTCTACTAAAATCATTTAACATTTCATTTTGGAAACTATTGCAGAAACTCGATTACATTCCAGTATCGAATATAAAATTCAGGTTTACGTACTCCACTTTTCTACTGTAATATCATATGTATCAACGTTAACTTTTGTCCGGAAAGGAAACATATTTCGACATATACTCGCGCATCTAAGAGTATTACATCGCTATTGAAGTATTACTACACGGGAATGAAGCGAGTTTGACGGCGGGAATTTAATTTATTTCGCCGCAAGTATCGAGGAAGAAAAATAAAGGTTTGTTTGCCGTATTGAATATGTAAATGAGCAACTAGTATGAGCTTGATAGTAGAAAACTCGGAGACACCGAGATTTTAAGTCCTCCATCTACACAGAGATCGGCAGCATGAAATTATTCTGTATTTTCAATAGTAAATACCACAGATAATTTAGAGATCCAGATAATCCATCCAATGATAATCCTACAGATAATCCATCAGGACTCTATAATGCAGGCGAAGAAATTCATTGCTCCAAAACTTGCCTATTTAAAAACTTTTCAATAATATAGAACACATGCCCAGGAGTTGATCTTCTTTCAGTCAGAGCGATGAATTGCTGATGAATCATCTTTCTGTGGTGAGAAGTTAACCGCTTAAAATCAAATTAATCTTGTTAGAGAGAATTCGAAGTCGATCGAAGAATTCGATCGACACCAGAAAAATATTCGGTCTAATTGAGGAAGTCCAATCCAACACCTCTCAGTTCATATAGATTATAGATCTAGGAAGAGTGGAATTTTCTTTCATAGTATTTTAACACTGAAATGAAGCTGGTGATCGACTTACGAGGGGATTTATCGGTAGTAATAAATTAAAAACATTTGCTTATGTCTAAAACCTCGGCGCAGTCAAGGCGGCAGCAGGACGTTTGAAAAATGAAGAAAAAGCGCTACATGTTGTAGTTTAATATAAAAATTTGAGTGTTGCTCTCTACTGGGAGTGGATCCTATGAGCATTTGAGTGTGAACGGTGTTATAACGTACGAGGAACTTAGAACTATGAAGAGCTTAACTGAAGTGCAAGCCAGCCTAAACTTATACATTTCAGTAGAGCTTGTTGAGTTCCGACAGTTGCTTCCAATTCAGCATTCTTTCAACAATCGTGTAGATAGTGTCGCCCTATCAATACTTGTGTAGATGGTGTCATTCTTGCAAAAATTGTGTAGATGGTGGACTGGAGATTTCTCCGTCAAGGAGCCATTTCCTATGACGCTCGTACTTGCTGCTTAAATACACATTCAACACTACGAACAAGCCGAGCAACATTTGAGTTCCTCCGCCTGCAGTACACCGCGCCGCGGGACTGGCAGTTCATGGAAGCGCTGGGTAATCCAGCGGCGCCTGCCTTGTAAATTCAAATTGAACAGAAGCTCGCGTCGTGTAAAAGCTGCGCCCGTACACAGGGGGCGAGTGTTGGCACTTCGGACAATAACGGCAGTCACGCAATAACTGCAATTGGCGGGGCCACGCAATAACGGCAGTTAGAAGACCTATGCACGCAATAACGGCAGTCAGAGAAACCACGTAATAACGGCAGTCAGAGGACCCAAGCAATAACGGCAGTCAGAGAAACCACGTAATAACGGCAGTCAGAGGACCCACGCAATAACGGCAGTCAGAGGACCCACGCAATAACGGCTTCAGAGGACCCGCGCAATAACGGCAGTCAGAGGACCCACGCAATAACGGCAGTTAGAGGACCCACCAAAACGGCAATTGAAGGGGCAACCAAAAACGGCAATTGAAAGAGCAACGCAATAACGGCAGTTAGAGCAACGGCAAGTCCAGTCGTCGCTAAAGCTTTTATTCTGCATGCTCTGTTGTCGAAATTGTTCTATTTCAAATTCTAAATTCAATTTTACTGTACGTTAACGAAATTCCTAACCGCCAAGCACCTAGTTCTATCTAAAAGTATTAGCAAAACGTATTTTGTAGATATTAAGATTGAATCATAACCTTATTTACATCTATTGTTGAGTTAAATTTTCTCAAGATTAAATTCGCAGAAATAGTATCCAATAAAATAAAAAAAAACGAGACTAAGACGATTTGAAGCTCTACGGTAAATTCTTAACGATGTTGGGAGACAACGCGACGGTCTTTGATGCCCGCATCAAACGGGACGATAGCGAGAAAATATTCATGCGCAATTCAATAGACAATAGGAAGCCAAATCTCAAAGATGGCTCTGTATTTATAGTCAACACAATATGCAATAGTACAAGTATTTCAAGAATAGACAACTTTACTGCGCCAAACATATTATTAAACAATAGAGTTAATGTTACTCGGGGGATGAGGAAAAGTTGGGTACAATTGAACATGCATGGAAGACAGTTGGAGACGTTAATTATTTTATATTTTTAAAGGAAACAATATCTCACTTTCTGCCACGTCAATGAATGCGCTAACTTATGCACTATTACGACCCTAAGCTTTTTTACACGTCACCCTTTAATGCACACAATAAACATTTTTCTGGTCATGATGCTTGCGCAATGCGCATAGCAATTCTGTGCACGCGCTGAATTGGTGACATTAATGATGAACGTACAATCATCAAACGACATAAATTATAATTAATACTACAGTATGGGTGAAATTATAGAAAAAATCGTAAAAACACAATGATGAGTGTTTTTACAATACCTACATCATTTTACCATATTTTATTACGTAATTACGCGATTTGCATGTAGAGGGTGTGATGAAGATGAAGGTGGACTTGTCAAAGTCCTCCACAATTTACGACAATGTAACGCTAAGATCAATTGAACACCTTTGATGAATTCCATACAAGTAATATAATGCATAAAAATCAACGTAGAACGTCTTACCGGAATTTCAGCGGCCGGTCGGTACTTGAAAAAACCATGTCGTCGCATTTATTTTCCATACAACACAATAAACCCGTACAACATTTGAAAAATTGGCAAAACTGTTGATTTTCACAGAGCGGTCTGCTACTAGAACGCTAATCGACCGTTTTTATCAAGGATATTTCGAACAGTGTACAATGTTCTCTGCCGTACAATGTTCTCGTATAATCACTTGGACACGATCTTTTCGAGCAGAAGGCTAAACAGGCTGAATTTGCGCTCTGTCTACGAATTCTATAGGAATAATATAATAAAATATTCCCGTATAATCGCTTGGCTATGATATTCTGAAGCACTAAGTGATGCTGAAGATGAACACCTATGAAGAAATGTTTGAATACAATGTTATCATATTCTAACACAACTGATGTTCTTGAGCAGAAGGTGGTGCTGAAGTTGAACACACCTATGAAGAAATACTTGAATACAATGTTATCATATTAAAACACAATTGATGTTCTCGAGCAGAAGGTGGTGCTGGAGATGAACACCTATGAAGAAATGTTTGAATACAATGTTATCATATAATAACACAATTGATGTTCTCGAGCAGAAGGTGGTGCTGGAGATGAACACCTATGAAGAAATGTTTGAATACAATGTTATCATATTCTAACACAATTGATGTTCTGGAGCAGAAGGTGGTGCTGGAGATGAACAGGCTGGGCATGATGGTGGATCTGTCGCACGTCTCGCAGCAGACGATGCGCGACACGCTCGCCGTCTCGCGCGCTCCCGTCATCTTCTCGCACTCGTCCGCTGCTGCGCTGTGCGCGAGCGAGCGCAACGTCCCCGACGACGTCCTGCAGCAGATGGTACGTCCTGCAGCGGATGGTACGTCCTGCAGCAGATGGTACGTCCTGTAGCAGATGGCGAGGATCCATCCTGCACTCGTGCCATAATGTCCAAAATAAGGATGGGTCGCCACCAAATTCAATGAATAAATTAATTTTACTACGTGTACGATTTACTACGTACGATTCAAACGTGTTGGATTGGAATATGTTTAATTATTAATTAATAAATAACTTCCATTAAATAAGTTGGGTGGTCATAAAATTCAAGAAAAAAGGTAATCTCACAACTATGCAATGATGTTGAAATTTTCAGGTATGTCGGTTTTGTCTTTTCCAAATTATGTAATTAATCGATCATCGTGCAAAACTAACTTGGACATCCACCAAACTCGGGAAATAAGTTAAGTTTGCATTAGTGAAGTGGCTGTAATAATTTCAAGTTAGCTAGTTTAGTCGGCTCATGATTCAAGTAATTAACCGACAAGTGTCAAAAAGGAACTTGGATCTGCAACAAACTCGAAAATTGTGTTATAACACATACGCACATAAGTTATAACACATACGCACATATAACACATAAGTTTCGCTTTGTGGTTTGACCATTTGCCATGTCACGCAAATTATTCCATCAATTAAAAGTTGCAATTAACTTCGGCTTTTAAGCATTAACTGATCGCAGATTCGTTGTAAAAATATGTTCGTTCCGTATCATCAACAGGATGTTTAATGATAACTGTAAAATTGATCGAGTGGATAACGCGATTGCGGTTCAATAGAGCTGTGATAATAAACAAAAAAATGTCTGCATGTTTTTTTGGGCACGTTTCTTATTCGCAAGAATATTTTGCGGGCGGCTAGAAAATGAAACTCGAAATTCCATGCTTGTCAAGAATTTCTTTAAGTTGCATTTGACGAAGCTTGGACGGCATTGCTCGGCCGTGGTCGTGGCGCCTCGGTTTCCTTGAATCTCTTTATTGTTCTTTAAACAGCATTCTGTTGAATATTAATGAGTCTTTAATGTCTACTGGAGACTTGCCAGCCTTGTGCAAATGTAGAATGCTAATAACATCACTTATTTCACTTTTAATCGAGGCAGCCTCGACTTACTCCTTAGTGCTCAATTACAGTCATGGAAACATTTCTTGAAAGTAGATGGATAAGCTTATAAGTCAGTATTATTATTATGAATAATATTAGATCATTAGTTGATAATGATTGCACATTCTGCGTGTATAGTATTCGGCACGGGCGTCCCGCGTATCGCGTGTACAGTGTTCGGTAAAAGAGTCCCGCGTATCGCGTATAAATTAAACAGTTAATTGCGCGTCAGTAATAAAGAGATTAACCCGAATCATCTCGATCCAGGAGCAGGCACTCAGGAAGAGCCTTCACAACAGAGTATAGCAGTTTAGACGCACAAATTACATAATATTTAATTTACATTTATTTATGGCAGATGAAATTTATCCTGCCGCACTTGCAGGCTAGCTTATCAAGTATCAAACTTTATCAATAGTCAGGTGTATAAGAAACTATATGTTGTACGTATCAAGGAACGTAGAATAAAGAATTTCAATTTCACGAATGATTTATAGTTTGTGTTGTTTCGTCCAAACGTTAACGGACGCATTTGAACCGTGAAGTGTAGTTTAATAATAATAACGGTTACATTGCACCATAGAAAGTCTTAACACCTTGATGACGGATTCACAGTTGAAAAAAAATTCCAAAATCTTTTCAAAAAGAGCGATACCTAATAAATATTTTCTTAGCATCTCATGAGATTAGAACTATGTTTTATTGTTCTTCTACTTCGCTACTACCAAGAACTAAAGTAACGAAGCGTTTCGTTTTAATAGAGCCGTACTGAGACAGATACCAAGCTCTTTCATGTGACCACAACTAAGAACGAAGTAAGTGAATACTTACTATTTATTACGTAACATATTTCAGTAATAATCGCAAAAGATTCATGTCAACAGATCAATCTCTACAAAAATCAATTGTGGAAACATCCACCATTTTTATCAGTTATTCTTTTGAAAGAAGAATAATAGAAAATATAAATTTGAGTTTTCATAATAACATAAAATTTGCGATATAAATAAAACTCCATCAATTTTATTCTCTCGACATTGCAGAGACTCAACGGAGGCATCGTAATGGTGAGCTTCTACAACCCCTTCCTGACCTGCAACGAGACTGCCACTCTGCATGACGTCATCCGTGAGTGTCATGAGCTGTTAAGTGTCATCCCTTGTACGACTAAAGACTAGGAGAAATGAGCTTGTTCAATTAACTATGCACCTTTTGCTCTTGTTTGGACCTCGCAATAGTGCCAACTAAACAGTTCCTTCCAACTACCCACTCAGATAAATGTGTTAGACTTTGTACAATTAGCGATGCACTTTTACATTTGTTAAGGTAATCCTGACCCAGTTTGGCCCTGCAAAAGAGCGTATCAGTGCTACGTCCGATCCCTCCTCGTGCCGTGGGTAAGAAAGTTTGTCACAATCAGACAAAATGATCACAAATTTTTCAATGTGACCAGAAAATATTAAATCCTGCAGTGTAGCTGCAGAATTGCGTTAGAGACACAACACCCTGACTATACCGTTTGATTTCAAGTCTTCCTGCTTAGGCTGCTAGTCCGTGTAGCTGTTCAATTGCAGAGAAAACTGGAATAAAGTGAATAAATCTGCAGGTTCGTTTCGTTTATGATATATGGCCGGGCGACTTAATGAAGGATTTCCATCTCGGTCTAAAGCTGGTCTGGGGCTACGAGGCTGAGGGAAGCTCTTAATNATGAGGAAGGCTCATAATGGTGATATGAGGGAGGCTCATAATGATGTGAGGGAGGCTCTTAATGACGAGGGAGGCTCATGATGAAGATGTGAGGGAGGCTCTTAATTAATGATGAGGAAGGCTCATAATGGTGATATGAGGGAGGCTCATAATGATGTGAGGGAGGCTCTTAATGACGAGGGAGGCTCATGATGAAGAAGTGAGAGAGGCTTATGATGATATTGTGAAGGAGGCTCACATTTATTTCTTCTTCGCAGGAAGGCTAATGCCAAGACAGGGCGAAATCAATATTTTCAGCTCTCATGAATTTTGTTTCAACATGAAATTAGGCCAACCTTTTTCGATAACTGTCCTGGAAATATCGCCCGCTCATGTATGAATTTTTTCATAAGCTACTTTCGCAAACATTATTACAATTGATAAAAATCTTTCGCTCATCACATGGTCGCTCGGTCGTTCATAATCCAATCGCCCCTCCCCCCCCCCCCAAAAAAAACATGATTACTAAATCACAACCAAAAAATTCAACCGCGTTCCTGGGCACAAAAGCACGCTAATTTGCGTGGACTTTACCGACGAGCCTCATGGATCAGAGGACCAATGAGATCCCCTGTTTCTGTTCCCCTGATATTTTAATAGAGTTTTTGCGCCCAGCGTCCTGTGATTAGATAAAGTTTTAGCCGGTGATCGCGCAATTGAATAATACGTGACAAGCGCCACTGCAGCGCGGACTGCGCATCCGCAGTGTCACCGAGCCATTCAGTGGCAGGACCATTAAAAATAATTACGACTTTGTAACTACGGCAGCGAATCACTGACGGCTTTTCAAGGTAAATCCACCAATCGCAGATGATAAATCGGCCGCTACGTGTTAAAGTTAAAATATTGTTTTCAGGGCACATCAAGCACATCGTCAAGGTTGCTGGAGTTGACCACGTGGGCATCGGTGCGGACTTCGATGGCATCAACAAGTAAGACAACGAAAATGTCAACGTACAAATTAATTATACGTGTATTCTGACCAGCATTCTTACTCTCATAATTCGGCGCAAAATCATCAAGTAAGAAAAGTGCAACTTTCATTGTACGTGCAGTCAGATCAGCATTCTCAGTCTCACAATTGAGCCATTATTTGGGAAGGGTTTAGCTTCACGTACGCGAGGTGTCATTTCGCTAACACAAAGCCGTGTATTTAAGTAGAAACTGAAAAAATCGCTAACATTACATTATATTAGTATGCAATATGTATAACATTTAAAATAAGTTGGTGATTTGCGTTTACATTTTCAAATTTTCTTTACAATTTTTTTACTTCTAGGAAAGAGTTATGCGCGACTCAAAGTTTCAATCGCCAACATTATAAGCAGAAATATGTGCAAACGTAGTTCATCATCATGGATACCGTTTTTAAATCGGTACACGTACAGTCTACATTTTGACTATCACGACCAATTTCTCCCTTTCATTTGCATCTCGCATTTTTCCACGGCCGAGAGGTTCGCCCAAACAATGACTTGCATCCGCGCCCCCCGGTCCTCTTGTTCAGCTTCTGCTCAGGCAGAACTACAAAAAAATACTAAGGACTTACATTCAAAACTTCTACTTCATTTGTTCCTCTTTGTTTTGGGACGACATCGCTCTTAATAACTGCAAAATTTCTATGACTGCCCGAAGGAACATTTCCAGTTCAACTTTTTTAAATCTTGCACGTTACAATGGCTGCAATCTCAGTCCGCCTTGGTTGGTTTTGTCTTTACATGTAATAATGTGAAGCTCATTTGTACCTCAAACTGCCAATTATATTCACAATGTATATGAAACGCTATATTCAATTTCAAATCAAATTAAATCTGCTATTTATTTTCAAGGAAGTATGATCATTATTTTTGTTTATCAGAGATCTTTAAGTTTAGTTTAGAAGTCTCAAATTTATTTCGTCACACTCATCTGTGAAGCATTGTCAAAGATTTGAAATGAAAGAAGAAAAATCTTGCTTGTTGTAATGTTCCAAGATTGATGATCAATTGCAAGCAGTTTACGTAACCAAATGATAAAATGGTTCTGATAGGTAACATTGACATTTACAGCATATTTGTCACTCCAAATATTTAATACATCAGATTTGTGTCTTGTACTAACTTTGCATTAGACGTTGCATCAACCGACTCTCACATTAAGCATATTTTGTAATAACGTATGCATCAGACATTGACATTTAAAATATATTGTAATGAAATAAATTTGTTAAGAACCCCGCGCGGTCTGGAGGACGTGTCCAAGTATCCGGCGCTGCTGGAGGAGCTGCTGCACGAGGGCTGGACCGAGCCAGACGTGGCCAAGGTGGCGGGTGGCAACTTCCTCAGGGTCATGAGGGAAGTGGAGAAGGTAAGTGAGGGAAGTGGAGAAGGTAAGTGAGGGAAGTGGAGAAGATAAGTGAGGGAAGTGGAGAAGGTAAGTGAGGGAAGTGGAGAAGGTACGTGAGGGAAGTGGAGAAGGTAAGTGAGGGTAGTGGAGAAGGTAAGTGAAGCCACAACAGAATGAACAACAATGAAATTCAACAATGAAGCCCTTTGGGAACGTTGTGTTTGTCCGCTTGAATTATGATGTTTGTGAGGGTTTTGTTTGCGACGTGAATGTCAAGTGGGTCTGCTATGATTTCTAGTGCCGATTCTATTTCAGTTGAACACCACTTACCTTCTGCACTTCCCTTAAGAGAGATTAAAAACGATATTTTTCCCATTCATGTTGCAGGTCCGGGAGGCGATGTTGACAAGACCTCCATATGAGGACCACATTCATCCCGACTATCTGAGGGACAAGACTTCCTGCTGGTGGACGTGACACGAGACTCCTGCGCTCCTACCATATGGAATCCTGGTGGCGTTTCAGTCCACGAGATCCCATAAGGAATCATGCGAGGGCTTCATTCTACGAAACTCCTTATGGAATCTTGGCAGCGCCGAACTCTACGAGATTCCATATGGAATCTTGGTAGGGTTTCATTCCAAAAAAATATCATATGGAATCTTGCGAGCGTTTAATTCCACGACACTCCATTTGACATCTTGGTAGCGTTCTACTCCACAAAACTCCATGTGGAATCGTGCTAGCGTTTCATTCCACGAAACTTCGTTTGGAATCTTGGTGGCTCTGCACTCCCGAGATGCAACTAAAATCAAACGCTATCTGCAGTTGCTGGTAAATTAATCGTCTTGCAAGGCAGCAGGAGAACTCGAGAGCTTTAAGAACTTCTAGAGAGCTCGTTACTGCTGAATTGTTTACGTGTAAAAATTGGAAGCCGATTGAAAAGCATCAATCAAATCCCATGCTAATACTCAGTATTACAGCCTTTTGGAACCATTTGGCAAATAGTTAACACGGAAATAACATTCCGATTTAAACAAAGGTTCCAATGAGCGACGAAAAACACACGACACAGCATTTCCCACACGAGAGAACGCATATGCTCTTGAAAAACTAAAATAAAAACACTAAAGATTGCGTTTGGACGAAATTCCCAAGCAAACATCCAGATTTAGACCAGAATTTCAAGCAGTTTTCCATGCTTTAACCAAGCCAAGCTCAATTAATGCCACGCTAACCTTCACTAGCTGATGGTGGTTTAAATTTTTCTCAAGAGTTTTGTGTCGTCATACTTGAACAATTTCAGTCGTTCAAATAATAACTTGATGATTTTAACGGAAAAATGATTCATCTAAAACTTCCTAAGGAATAATCAAAACCTACATTTCGCACGTCCTACCAAAAGATCTTGCATAACAATTAATTCCTCATTACTTAAAAACATGAAAACAATCCAATAAAGACTTGGTGCACAATTCATGTTTTCACCATAAATTCAATCCCGGCCGAGGCGAATAATATAGACGTCGCTCACGTGACGCTACCACTAACTCCAAATAATGACACTTACGGCCCTTAAATTTGGAATAATGCGTATACTATACACATATTTCACACATACATTTGTTATTATAGTGCAAAGACATAATGATGATTGCCGGCAGTCTATGACTTAACGAAAGTAATATACCGACTCGTTATCTATATCGTGAAACTGCATTTGCTGATATTCCAGGGTATCCTAATACTGACAAACCATGCAGGGATGATCACTCCGAGGCGGGATGAACACGACCGTGTAAGTCGCATTGTTGCAATAACAAATCAATGAAAACGCGCAACTTCACAGTTATTCGCTCTCAGTCCTGCCATCTGTATAGCTCATCGATCAAAATACGGGCCTTGTGAAGGTAACAGCCTTCCGCATGTAGAGCTTATCGGTGAAGAACGGGGCCTCCAGTAGAGCTGATTAGTTAAAACGGGACTTTGGTATAGCTGATGGTTAAGAAACGGGCCTTCTTTAGAACGTATCGATCAAAAAACATGCCCTCTGAAAAAATGGGCCCTCTGAAAAATTTACATTCTACAATCTACATTCAAATTTATCGATAAAAAACACGAGCGTTCTACAGAACTTAGCGATCAAAAGGGTCTTTTTTAAAGCCGATCGTTTATGCAAGCGGCAAGTTCCCGAATTAGAGCGGTATTACTGTATTACCGGCCACCGGTGGTCATCGATAATCCGTCTATACAGTTTATCACTTTTATTGAGAGGTTTCACTCGTGCCCAATGTCGGTAGAGCAGCACAGTAGATAGCGCAAGATCTATGCACTTATGTATATCCACAATGCTTTTTCAGTTTCATGAACTTAGTAATTTTTTGGAATTCACTACAAAACCATATGCATTCCCGTCTTAAATCTGTGAATCCTGGAATATGATGTTTGAATATGATGTCTTTTAATTTAATAGTAATTAGATCCATAATTATTCTAGTGAAGCAAACAAATTTTACATGCCCTAATAACTTCTCAAAATTAGCGGAGAGTGCTAATTAATCAGAAAATTAGTATTAATAAGTCCAGGATAAATATATTGTGGAGATGTGTGTAAGGTATAGAATACTTGTTATGGATTTAAAATAACTTGAGGTTTATAGTACTGGGTTCGTTACGTTTCTATCTTGTATTCTATGGCATGCGGTTCTCCCTTGCACCGTCGTTCTGTTCTATGTCAATGTGACCGCCAAAGTGTACAGAAAAACAATACATTTTAATACATGAAGCTGTTTTACTGAGTTGTTCGCTTTCTTCAGTCCCTACTGTACAAATAATCCGCTAACAACACGCCGGACGGACTCTATTAACAAGTGGAAACTTATGCATTTCATATGCTTCACAAAATAATTAAGTCTCCTTATTATACTACTTTTCTCACCTCAATTGTTCATTAAACTGTTAGTTTAAGTCTGTTTTGCGTTACCTCCATTTACGCATCAAATAATTTGCAGTTAACTTTAAAAAGTCGCGTATCCCATTATCCTGAAGTTGCAATGCCAAACTTATACTACCAAACTTAGAATACTAAGAAAAACACAGCAAAAGTCGGCAAATTTTCCGACACTCCTTGTAGAAAAAAGTAGTTTTCTATAATTAAGTGCATCCAGAAAAAGTGTTTTGAATAAAACACTGGCAACGGAAGGACCCGGTAACCCTTCACAGGAAGCCAGTATAGCATGATAATTAGTGGCGATTAGTATTTGAAAGTTGTACTGGCCGCCACTATATACTTACCCCATGCTCAAGCACCATAGGTATAGCGCTGCTTCGTTCGCCGTTCTCTCTGAGGATGGAACAAGCGATATTTCGACGTCGTCGCTGAGAGCCTCGACCGACTGTCGTCCTGCACGGGCCGTACTATCAAATACAGTTTCGAGTTCGTAATTCTCTCAGCCAATCACTGACGGCTTTTCATTATAAGCTCCCCAATCAAAGACCACCGCTACGTTTACTTAAGCGAGTTTTGACAGTACGGGCCCAGGCACTATTCTTTCTGTATATATTTCTCTCTCAACTGGAACCTTTCTAAATTTGACATGTTCTCAGGCGATGGAAGAAAATAATTGAGAGAAGATTCCAGTTAATCGGCCATCTCGCTTACCCAAACTAGATTCCTTATGAACCGAGTCCGTATTGTTCAAAATATCATGTCCAGTCTTGAGAACCGAAATGATTGTGTAATGTGTATTGATGCAGTACCATAACCTTTAATCGTTCAGAAATATGTCCCATCTTAAAGTGATCAATATGATCCATTTTTAAGCACATCAAATGCAGAACTATGAAATTTTGACTAAACCGAAAAAATTTGAATGAGGTAGAATCAAAATTATCTCACTCTTCGCTTTAAATAATAATAATTTTTATCACAGTAATTGCATTGTATCTCACTCATCGCTTAAAAACTCACCTCGCTGATATCTCAAGCTAGATAATGCGCTAAAAACGGCACCAAGAATCCGCTAAATCTTTGCCGTGAATTATAGGGTAAGAAATGGCTGTTCTCGGACGTCGACGACCAGAGGTTTTCCCTGAAGCCATAGAAGATAAAGTGACGAGGCTCCGCAAGATCTCGATCGTGACGCTCTCAGGTGTTTGAGGATCCATCGAAAACCATGAGCACTTGCCTTTATTCGGGCAAGCAGTGGCTGGTCACTGTAACTGACCATTAGTAACCACTACTAATTATGGTCTAACTGGCCTCGGTACAGGCTTTTAATGGTTCACGGGGCCAGTATAGTGGCAGCCTCTGTAACTGTAAAGTAGTAACCGATACAAATTGTGGTCCAACTGGCCCCGGTACAAGTCTTGGACATGGAGCCAGCAGTGGCGGCCACTAAAACTAGCCGCCGGCATGGTCACGAGGCGAGTGGCCCAGACATTAGCCCCAGTTAGTAATATTAGTGGCCGTCACTAATAGTCGAATATACAAGGGCCCCATGAGACTGGCTAGGACAGTACCATTTGTACAGGTTCAGCCGCAACACATTTGGACCGTGATTATAACAATAATAAAAAATATTCACATCAATTTTAATTTATTCATTGTAATCCCTACTCATGAAATATATTTTTGCATATATAATGAAAAGTTCAGGCAATTTTTGCCAGCGGAAGAGGATACGAGTAGTCACTATACTCGCCATTCATTCATCGAACAAGTTAGTGTGTACAGCAATCGACTAAAAACATCAACGCGAACATTAGTGACACCTAAAAACCTTATAACTTGTATCAACTATACCCAGGTTTAGTATATATAAAATAAATTATGCAGAATAACCAAATTGTAAGCAAGAAATTATATCCTATGGAAGCAAAGCGCAGGCACCCCGCTCATATATAGAGCCAATCTTGGCAATATGGCGGCGCAGTGCTTGCAATATGGCGGCGCAGTGCTGGCAATATGGCGGCGTAGTGCTGGCCGGTCTATGCGATCTCGAAATCAAAGTTGCCTCGAATTGACGGCCACGTCTCCTACGAATCTAAGGAATCACCGTAATCTGCATAAGCTGCTGATATTCGTGGCGCGAGCGCCAGCAAAGTCTTGAAATATTCGCCAAGTTTGGTACTGCCAAAAGAGAAGCTCCGTAATTGCATCTTTAGCAAGGCTTTAGTTTTATCTGACTCTTTTTACGTTTTGAGATGAATCATCCCTTGTTGAATAATGATTAACGGTCTTATCTTGCAAACGGAATCGATTGGTTCATAAGGAATCAAAAATAGGAATCATTCTATGTAAGTTCAGCTTCTGGATAAAAAGGATAGGTTCTCAAAAGTTAGATCTTCTATTATGTGGATCAAATTTTAGAGTACAGTACTGGGAAACGAATCGAAATAAAAAATTTATTGCACTCAAATATTTGCGAAATGGTGCATTTTGTAAACGTAAACCTAAAGCACAATGCGCAGAAGTCGCTAACAAAACGGTTGGTGAGCGAGGCACGTTTTCAAAGTTTAGGACAAACTTTTCCTGCGTCATTTGCCTGTCGCCATTGTTTACCGAAAGTTTCAGCGTAAATTTGTCGTTCATCCTCAACACATTGCTCCAAAAGTTGTCGTGATGTGACAAAGTTAACGCATCTTTAAGGAAAATAAAATTACAGTCGGAAGCAAAATGCCACGATAAACTGCATTTAAAAAAGTAATACGTGCCTCGAAATTTCCCGGTGACTAAAGAAATTTTTAGTATATTCTCAGGTGTGAAACACTTCAGAATATTTAAGAAAAAAAAATGCTAAATGAAATGAAAACTATACAATCGATGCTTTGGCCATAAGCATGCACTTTGAACATCGCCTCCTCTTTTTATTATATCGACTCTTATATAGTGCTTGAAAGATGAAACAAAGAAAGATTGATTAATAAACTTAGGGATTCATCAGGAGTGGTATTAGCGTGCTCTCAAATACCCGTTCTCTAATAGATAAAACTAATACCTTAAATATTTATCTTAAATATAGATCAAATTCTGATATTCATCCACTACGTTACTATAAATGGGTAGGCCTCGCACGTCGCTGTATAAAAAGTCTGGGTGCTCCAGCTCAAGCTACTACAAGACTCACTTGAAGTAATCGAGGAGGCGATGCCTGATCAACGCCTCTCATTTTTTAAAGCAATTTTCGGTAAACCGGACCGCGGGCGCGCCTTGAGAAACAAATTCTTGCATCCGATACTCCAATTGAGAAATATTAATGACGTGAAACATAAGATGTATTCAGCGCAATAAGTTACGTACGCACCTTATTATCAAACAAAAGAATACGTTTACCTTTTCAATGCGTTACATGCGCCATCAGAGAGGTAACGGTTGATTCAGATTGATTTCGATCCATTTTCCGATCGTTCATGTGCATTGATAGAAAATGGGCATCGCATTATATGCTTATATACGAGTACAGTAGTGGCAGCCAGTACAACTTTCTAGCTAATAATAACCGTCACTATTTACCGTGTTATTGGCCTCGTGCGTGTGTGCGCTACTGGCCACGGGAGTAACCAATTACCCTTCACACGAGGCCAGTAGCATGATTAGTGGCTGTTAGCATTTGGAAGTTGTACTGGCCGCCACTACTTTCCTCGTGTTCGAGCATCTCAAGTATAGCGCTAATTTGTATGGCCTAGTGTGCAAGCACCAATTGCGTTACCTAGTATGCAAGCACCAATTGCGTTACAATACTACAAGAATAAAACCAGTGAAAAAAATTCAAATCCTCTTCTACCGCTAGATTAACTTACTCTTTTTCTTCACTACCATTGAGGGAAAAATTCTCGTCTGTAATTTCTCATGCATGCAGAGTTACTTTGAGGCGATCTTGGAAGCTACTGCTGCATCATAAGCAATTATTTACTGTAAAATAAGGAATTTATTGAGGCTTTGTTATGCAGAGCTACTTAATTGTAGGGGATCCTCTTAACTACTGCTGTCTAATTAAGGTTATATTTACTGTAGAATATCTGAAATTTCTTTAGTACAATTCGTTATGCCTAGCTACTTGGAGGCGATGCTCGTAACTTACATACGAGAAGCGCTAAATGGATGAGGAGCTTTACAGGGAGCGGTCAGCAAGCGAGCTTAGGGTTTTTTATGCGCAGGAAAAAAGTTTGATGGAAGAGAGCGTTGGTTCAGGCAGCGCCTCCTCGATTACTTCAAGTGAGTCTTGTAGTAGCTAGAGCTCGAGCACCCAGACTTTTTATACAGCGACGTGCGAGGCCTACCCATTTATAGTACCGTAGTGGATGAATATGCAATGTTTGAAAGTACCTGCCCAGAATTCGATCTATGTGTAAGATAAATATTTAAGGTATTAGTTCTATCTATTAGAGAACGGGTATTTGAGAGCACGCTAATACCACTCCGAATGAATCCCTAAGTTTATTAATCAATCTTTCTTTGTTTCATTTTGTATCATTTCTAGTAAAGCTAAGAGAAAATATTACACAATAAAAGCGGTTTCATGCAGCCCTCATTGCACGATTAGTGTATGTCATGAATGAATTGAAAGAAGCTCAGACAAACCTAATAATATTTAGAAAGTGTGACAACATATCTGCAATAGGCTAACAAAACATTCAAACTTGCTGTAAAATTTCCGACTAACATGAATAAAGGGTTGAAGTGCCGCCTATAGAAATCTGCTCTAAAGTAGAGTCAAGGGGATTTGCTGTTATCTTCGTCGATTCCAAGCAGGATATTGGCGAGGAAACCAAGGCAAATTCCCGCGG